TGTTGCTAAGTCTCCAATTGACATTTTAAAACCTCCAGTTCATACTTCTGCCTTCACATGTCACGCTGATTCTAGTAAAGATTCTACATCTAGATATGGCAGCAAAGATTAGGCCACCCTCATGCTGAGGCATTTTCCAAAATCATGCATCATATTCCTTGTACTTCTTTGTCTAAAACTAAATCAATGTCTACTGTAGCTTTCTGTGATGATTGCTTACTTGGAAAAATGCATAAAAATCATTTTCCAGCCTCTCACTCAAGGGCCACTGAACCATTTGCTCTTGTGCATAGTGATGTTTGGGGGCTCGCACCTTTAAACTCCTTAGAGGGATTTAGGTACTACGTTCAGTTCATAGATGATTTTAGCAGATATACTTGGTTGTTTCCATTAAGAACAGAGGCTGAAGTTGCATCTGTTTTCATTCGATGTCTGTAGTCAGACCAAGGGGGAGAGTATAAAGGCCTGGTCTCATATCTTACCAAGGTTGGTATTCAATTTCGATATTCATGTGCATATGTGCATCAACAAAATGGCCGTAGTGAAAGAAAATATAGGCATGTCGTCGGGATTGGTTTAACATTGCTTGCACATGCATCTATGCCTACGAATCTTTGGTGGTGTGCATTCGATACAGTTGTATTCTTGATAAATCGTATGCCATCATCTGTTTTACATTTTAATTCTCCATATCAGATTTTATTTGGCAGATTGTCTTTGTATTCTACATTGAAAGTTTTTTATTGTGCTTGTTTTCCCTACTTAAGGGATTTTAATTCTTATAAATTCAGTTTACATTCCTCCAAGTGTGTCTTCATAGGGTATAGTCTTATTCACAAGGGTTATAAATGCATGAATTCTAATGGAAAAGTCTATATTACACCCAATGTTAAATTTAATGAGTTAGAGTTCCCTTATGCACATGATTTTGGCCATCCCACCTCATCACATATCCATGTAGCTTTACCTTAACATAGGCCCTCCAATTTTCCCTTTGTCTCCTCCATGCAGAGCTCTCGGTCAACTGATGCAGCACCTCCAGCTCCAAAGTCTCTAGCAGTGTTCTGTTCTCTGCCAAGTCCACCACTGGCAATTAGTAAGGGTACTCCTTCTACAACATCTGTTTTACCCTTCACATCAAACACTACCTCACATAATCAGTCCACCATCCTGAACAATCTGCACTACATAAGTCACCTTCTACAGCACCTGTTACATCCTCCACATCAGATTTTTCCTTACACAATTAGTCCACCACTCCTGAGCAGTCTTCCCCATCTAAATCACCTTCTTTTTCATCATCATCATTACCACACACTTCAGCCGGTCTCGCTAACACTCCTCGCAATCTGTTTCCTTGCACCTTAGAAGTCGATTTAACCTTATTTAAATTTCTGTCCTCACCTACAATATCTGAAACTTCATTACCACCATGCCATCTTCAAGTTGACTTGACTTCCTTATAGTTTTCTTCTAAGACTCAAGATGCTTCAACTCTCACAAAATGTGCATCCAATAGTCACTAGATCCAAGGCAACTCAAAACAAAACTGCCCTTATTACTATTCCTGGGGTCTCTATCAAAGCTGAACCTACTTCAATGAAAGAGGCCTTAAGAAGTGAAGAATGGAAAGAGGCAATGCAGGCTGAATTTAATGCATTAGTCAAGAACGATACCTAGATACTTGTTCCTATAACTAATGATTTACATGTTGTTAGCAACAAATGGGTTTTCCGAACTAAGTATAATGATGATGGTAGTCTTCAAAAATATAAGGCTAGACTTGTCGCTAAAGGATTCCAAAAAACACTTGGGCTGGATTATTTTGAAACCGTTAGCCTGTTATAAAGCCCTCCACTATTCGGATTATCCTAACTCTTGCTATGACTTATGGCTGGGATATCAAGCAAATCGATGTTAACAATGCATTCCTAAATGGGACTCTTAGTGAAACAGTCTTTATGTATCAACCTGCGGGTTTTGAAAATCACTCTTTCCCTAGTCATGTTGGCCAACTTAAGAAAGCCCTTTTATGGCCTCAAACAAGTCCCAAGAGCTTGATATGAAAAGCTGAAACAAGCTCTTTTGGATAAGGGTTTTCAAAATTCTGTGTCAGATACCAATTTATTCACCTACAAACTTGACAGCTGCATGATCTACATCCTTATCTCTATTGATGATATTTTGATCACTAATAGACATCCTACTTTCATTCAAAAACTGAAGACTTAAATCCTCAGTTCAGTCTTAAAGATCTTGGTTCAATACACTATTTTCTTGGTATTGAAGCTACTAGGACAACTCATGGTATTCATCTAAGGCGGGCCAAGTAAGTTTCTGATCTTCTTGCAAAAACAAGAATGTTAGAAGCAAATGTGTGTACTACACCTATGGCAGTTGGTACCAAACTATTTTCTACTGACAGTATTGGCTTTCAAGATCCTAGCTTGTATAGAAGTACAGTTGGGGCTCTTCAATACCTCACTCTAACAAGACCTGACATCAGCTACACAGTTAATAAGTTGAGTCAATTTCTTCAGACCCCCACTAAATTGCAATGGCAAGCCTGCAAAAGAGTGTTACGACATCTAAAAGGAACTCAAGATCATGGTCTTCAATTTAAACCGGCTGCTTCTTTGAGTGTTGAATGTTATGAAAATGCTGATTGGGAAAGTAATTTAGATGATCACATATCCACTATGGTTATTGTGTCTATCTAGGGCCTAATCTTATACAATGGAGTTCAAGAAAACAAAGAGTTGTAGCCTTATCCTCTACTGAGGCGGAATATAGGGCCCTTGTGCACACAACCACTGAAATTGCTTGGTTGAAAAGCATGTTCTCTGAATTAGGAATACCTTTAAACACTTCTCCTATCATATGGTGTGATAATGTTAGTGCAGGAGTTTTAGCAGCAAATCCTGTTTTTCATGCCCGTACTAAGCATATTGAAATCGATGCTTATTACATTAGAGACCAAGTTATTGGGAAGAAGCTGGTTGTCTAGTATGTTCCTTCTAAGATGCAAATTGCCAACATCCTACTAAGGCTTTATCTGCCTCTCAATTTCAGTTGTTGAAAGACAAACTGACTGTTGTTGCTTCTGTAATTGCTTCTACATTTTAATCAGTCAGTCTTTAGCCTTATATGGTGTAAGAAACACTGCAAAAGAGTACAGTTGCATCTTTGTTGAATGAAGTTCCTGGTGTAAGAAGCAATGCAAAAAACTGTAGTCGTGTTGCACTCAAAATGGTATGGTGCATAGTTGTTAGTTGAAGTTGTTTGCAATACGTTTTCTTGATTGATTGAAATGGTATGGTGCATAGTATGTTAGAGTTGTTTTTTGTTTGCTGGTTAAAAAGGTCTACTGTAGTTGCATTCTTTGGCTAATGGAAATGGTTTACTAAAGTTGCATTTTTGTTGGGAATGTTAGAGTTGGTTTTTGGTTGCTGGTTAAAAGAAACAGGTCTGCTATAGTTGCATTCTTTGGCTGATGGAAATAGTCTACTGAAGCTGCACTTTTTGTTGAGTTTTTTTTTGGACTGACTTAGTTTTCTAACTCTTAAAGAGTTGAGAAGTTGAAGCCATGTATTTCAGTAATTAACTGCAGAGCAGATTTTTCTTAAGATTGAGGAGTTGAAGCTGTGTACTGAAGATACTGAGTGCGGAGTTTTTTTTTTCTTTATACTTCATTCTGACAATGCCACTGATATGAAGTTGGCACTGTGGAGTAATTGACATTCCGGACCTCAGCTTTCTTCTGTGAGGTTAAAATTTCTTTTTGATCAAAAATATAACCCAGCAACAATCAATTCAATGACAAAACAATTCAGAAGTGTCAGTTGTGCACATTGCAAGATATGGGAGACTCTTGGCTCGGTTTCAGGGGGACTGTGGATCAAAGAGTCAGACTGCGAAGTGAAGAAAGCTAAGAAGTCAGATTTGCAAAGAATAGACCTTGGCTTGGTTTCAGGGGGAATGTGGATCAAAGTGTCAATCTATAAAGTTAAGGGTTTACTTGTAAAAGCGCCAAAGTGATGTCGTTTCAATGAAGTTGTTAGACGAAGTAGCTAGGCTCAATTAACTACGCTGCTGCTCTTGTATATAAAGCAGTCTCTAATCAGTTTTTCCTCAATTAACAAAAAATAAAAAAATAAAAAAATAATAAGCTTACAATTCACGCAACCTTCTCCGTTTTTCTTTACTAAACTGTAGTCTAGAAATTTTTCTTCCAAATTCCTTCAAGATTCACATCTATCACCTGCACTATAAAGTGCATGTTGCTCTGTAAATTATTTATCAGTCAATTCAGAAGACAAGAAGCATAACTTCTAAAATAGAACACCCAGACACTTAAACTCTATATGAGTACACAACTTTTGTTCCCTCATTAATTCTCAATGTTAGACGATCACTTATTTCTCAAGAGTTAGTCAAGGTCTTATCTTCACAAGTAACTAAACATCAATTTCAATACCCAGATGGACCAATTCAATTATTTAAGATCACAATTTATCAATAGTAACACACAGAAGTTTAAGTTGAGGTTCCAATGATGTTGTATATAAAGCTAATTAATTAGTGAACGTTGAAATCTTATGATTACAGAGGTTCAAACACAAGCTGAGAATCAATAAGCTACCAGAAAGTTAGTCCTTATTGAAACCAAAAAAGAAAGAGATATAAATGCTCATGGATACTCACTTATATCTGATTCAATCAATATAATAACCTTTGCCCATTAATTGCAAGGATGCTCATGGATACTGTAATAGCCCGTACTTTTTTTGTATGGAGTTTTATTAAATTTTATTTTATGACTCTGGGGTAAAGTGTAATAATTTGAAAGTTCTAACCGAAATAAGTGGGGACTAACTGAAAATTTTTCAGATATTTTGGTGAACAGTGACCATTCAATGAAAGGGGGAGGAAGAAGAAGGAAACAAAAGAGAGGAAAAGAGAGAAGGAAAAGGAGAGAAAGAAGAGAGAAAGAAGAAGAAAAGAAGGAGAGGAAGAAGGAAAGAAAGAAAAGAAAGAAGGGAGAGAAAGATGAAACCAAGAATAGAGAGAGAGGGGAGAGAAGAGACCGATGGAGGTGGCTGGAAAAGTGGCCACCGGCGAGCAAAACTTTGGTGATCGGAGAGTGGAGGAAGATCAAGCATATGGGAGGTGAGTAAAGGTTAAAATTTCCCTTTTTTTGATGAGTTTTAGTTCCCTAGATTGTATTGGTTATAATTGAGTGTAATGACATGAGATTGCACAATAATAGGGAGATTGATTTTAATAATTTGGTGTGGGTAGAACATACATGTTGTTCCTAAACAAAAATGGGTTAAAGATATAATTTTTGATAGAAGGGTTTATTGTACAAAAATCTGACCATCTAGAACTCCGAAAATTATTTGTATGTTTTGGGTTTTTTTTTAAGCTGAATTTTGGATATGTTGTTGTAGACTTCTTGAGAAGTGTTTAGAAATTCATTTCACTCAAAAACTCAAAGAATTGAATTTTATATGGATTTTTGAAGTTGCCTTGTGAATTCGGGAATTTTCGTCTTCTGCAGAACATGTATTTTTGGAAAATGAATTGATGTATCAATTCTTATCCAAATTGTGATTTTAAATTCTGGTGAATTCTATATGTGTCTAGTTTAATTCTGGAGAGTTTCATGAGGTTTAGATTAAGGTCTGAATTGTTATGAATTTTACAAGTCAGTAACCTCAATTCTGGAAACAGTTGGTAGATTTGAATGAGTTGAAAGAAAATTTTTTTAATATGATGACCTGAGTGCTTAATGGTTCTTATTGCGATTGCATTATGCTCTGTTGCATTCGAAATATATGTTAGTTAAAAAGAGAAGAAAAGATATTGCTATAATGCTCCAGGAATTGAGAACATGCTATGGCATTAGTGTGACACGAGGCTTGGCCTTGCCTACCTAGCCATGGACTGAGATTAGAAATAGTCGTAGGATGCTTCTGTTGTTGGGAGAAAAAGAGTTTTCCTGTAACTTTTGGCTCTGGTTTTCCATTTTTGACTGCCTCGTGTTTTGTAGTTGTTGCCTTGTATAATAAGGAAGACGACTCTATATGATATTAGTCATAGTTAAAGTTAGATGCCTACGTCTTTCAAGTTCATATAGGTTTGTCTGTACCTTTCTGTCGAGTGCTCTTCTAGTTCAAATGTGAATATCATGACCTTGACATTATACTGAACAGAGGATTAGATGTTTCAATATTCTTGACAGAAACTAGATTTCTCCTGTTAATTGTGCTAGCTATACCCTGGTGGACAGAATTTGAGGCTCTTTGTTTTGTCTTGTCACTTCGTACAGTTTTATATCAAAAGCTTATTCCTGCCCTATTTGGAAAATACTGGCTTATTGCTGTGGCTTCATATTAAATTTACATCCCTGTGATTTAGTAGTGGGCTTTTTTTTTTTTTTTTTCAAGCTATTTTTAAGTCCAAATTTAGGATCCGGCTTTGAGCTTTGCTAAGGCTATATATATCTTTGGGTTTGCATTTTTAAATCTCCTAAAGAAAAATTGACTTTTCAGGGAAAAATGATTCACAAAAGACGCTTTGCTGATGAGGACCTTTCGAGTTCCCTTGTAAACACCTAAAACCATGTGACTACACCAATCACCTTGCTCCTATCATGGATTTCAATCCTTGCAATGATGCTGGTCTGGAACCTCAAACTTCAGGTAAATAATTTGTAATTACATCTACGTAGAATTTTGGTTACAATTAAATTGATCTTCTTGTCTCATGCAGCAGTGGTATTATATTCTGCAATTGTTTTTTTTTTTTTTTTTAATATTATTGACTAAATTCCAATATGAAGAAGATGCAGCTAGCCACAGGTTCTGCAAATGTCAAGATCAAAAGACATGTGCATTTGACTAGATTACAGAAGTTTCAAATGGGACTGATGAAGAATTTGAAATAGGTACTTACGGCTGCATTTCTCAATTTCTGTAGGAAAACAGCAGCATTGCTGAAGCAGATGCTAAGTTTGAGGCAGCATTTCATCTGTCATTTTTTCCAGAATATTTTGCACCTCAACACCAGCTAAGGGCTTTGCTTCAATCCAATGAGACTTATTCATCTCTTCTTGAAGCTCCTCCTTTGATTCCAGTTTCTATTGGACCTTAGCATCAAGCTGATGTTCCTGAATGGAACCCAAGGGGTTCTAAGAGCTTCGTGGATAATCTGGATGTGTCAGGCCATCAAGTTGAACCTGCACCTTCGCCGGATTTTAGCCTTGTTGTTGATGATGATGATGAGGAGAAGCTGAGGGGTACTTGTGTCATTTCAATGCCTGATTATGAAAGGTCCGCCAATTATTGCTCTGAAAGATGTGGAACCAGAAATGATTGTAAATTCATTAATAGGGGGTTCTGTTGATTGTCTCAGACAACATGTTATGGAAGCCAGAGAAAAACTTTGGGAAAACCCTGGGGGAAAGATATTTGAGGAGTTAGGTTTCTGTGAAATGGGAGAGAGGTCTCCAAGAGATGGGCTGAAGAGGAAGAGCAAGCTTTCCATGAAGTTGTCTTTTCTAACCCTGCATTGATGGGGAAGAATTTCTGGGACCATCTCTCATTGGTTTTCCCCTCCGAACAAAGAGGGACCTTGTCAGCTATTATTACAATGTCTTTATACTACGGAAATGGGCCAATCAAAACAGGTTTGAGGCAAATACACCAATGATGAAGCAGATTAGACATTAAAGTTGGCTCAACGAGCCAACTAAAAGACCAAGACAGTGGCTGAATATATTGTGAGTAATTTACGTATTAACTAAATTTTATTAATACAAATATTGGATTATGTAATCAAATTATACTACTCAAATACTTGAATTGCATAGTTTTTGGTTAGTTTACATAGCATTATTCTTATATTATTTATGCAAGACAGACACCCTGTAAAATAGAAACCAATTCGCATACAAAAATGCAATCCAACCAAGCAAATCCACAAGTAATAATCAATAAACCAAAGCCTTTATCAAATAAAGCTGAACACCGACAGGTAATAATCAATAAAGTCAAGTCTTTATCCAATAACGTTGAACACCATGTTACAATTTAAATTCAACTGTCACATCACAACACATCCAAAGGCTATATATACCTCGCTTGAGCACGCATATCATCATTTCAAGTTTCTTCAGTTTTACTTGGGCAATTGGGCTCAATAGAAAGCACAATCATGCCTAAGCTGTTGTACAGGAAGAAACTTACCATTTCGGATGTCACCGAGAAATTATTTGTCCAAGCCAAACATCTTAAGGATTTCCCGCCTTTTCCACCCGGCCAACATTATCAGAATTTACTATTTTTGGACGAGGAGGAGGGCACTGAGTGGAACTTCCGTCTAGCCGTCCGCCAGAATAGCCGCTGTCCAAAGCCATATATGGTGGCGATTGGATAAAATTTTGCAAGAGGAGGGAACTTAAAGAAGGACTGGTTTGTCGTTCTCGAGGAAAGAAATGAAGCAACTGGACAGGCCAATTACACGATTAGACCCTTTTATAATTTTCTTTAATTTACATGGAAGTGTGGCTGGGTGTGGCACTTGGTGGTGGCGACTGGGGGTGTGGCACTACGGCAAGCACGTGCGCTGAAGTGCTATGTGCTCCATCAAATGTGAAACTGATGACAGTGTGGCTTGGCTTTGCTACGCTCTTAAAAGATAAATATATTATAGTTAAATTATCCGTGTTTTTAACGAGTCATAATTGAATTAGTTAAATAAGGATAATATTGATTGTGATAGATTGTGTTTGAGTGATTACCTCCTATTGCATTAGCTCTATTATCTTATATTATGTCAATTGAATCTCTTATATGATGAAGCAATAACAAGGTGTGCGTTTTATAGTAAAAAAGGTGCTGCTTTGAGGTCTTGGTTTCCACTATTAAACCAACAATTAATTTATTTTTTCAGCTAACTCTAGTCAACGATATAGGTCCTTCTTAAAAGAAAAGTCAGTTCATACCACACTTGGTGATGGGACTTGGTGGTGGCGGAGCCTTAAAGAATAATATGGTATTTTATAATTCTGTATTGGCAGGAGGGATGTGCACGGCGGAGGGAGGAGGGAAATGCTACGGTGGAGACGCGAGGAGATGCAGGCCGGCCGGAGTAGCCTCATTGATCGCCGGTCGTGCGCGGGCTTTGGGTAGGCTGTGTCGCGCGCGGGAGGAGAAGGAGAGATGGCCACGCTTGGTGTTTGCACTTGGTCGTGGCTGGGCGGTGGGTGTGGGTGGTGGTTGCACCGTTATAGCCTCACTTATCGCCGGCATGCGGGCTTTGGGGAGGCGTTGTCGCACGTGGGAGGAGAAGGAGAGATGGCTGATCAGGTCGAGGTGCAGCACTTTGGGGAGGCGGTGTCACGCGCGGGAGAAGGAGAGGCAGCTCAGGTCGAGATCGGCCGGAGGTGTAGCGGTTGAGGCGTCGAGGGAGGCGGCCGCCTTAGTTAGTTATTGCTAATTTCATTGGTTAAAAAAATGGATGTGGGCCCCATAATCAGGCCGAAGAAGATTCTTCAAATGCTGACATCGGAGTTTATAGAAAATACAGGTTTGTCAGCTAGTAGTGTATGTATAAAGGCGAGGGCTACGAGTGACTAGATCAACTCCCATTCTCAGAAGTTTCTTTTTGATATGAGGGTTCCAAGAGTTCTTGATTTGGAACACTTACCAGGAATGGTGTTTTCAGGGGGTCTGCAATTGCTTCTCACTTACCTGGAAGAACTGATAACGAAATCAAGAACTATTGGAACACTCACATCCAAGAACTATTGCGCCTCCGTCCTCCTCAACCGCTGCACCATCCAAATCCACCGAGCCACAGCGGCCACCACAGTTATTATTGCAGCCTTTTCGCCTCTTTATTGCCGTGGGTGGTGGGCTTGATAGATATTCATCATACCGAGTCAGTGACTCAGTATGATGCTCATCATGAATATTCTATCAGGCCCACCATCCACCCAGCCACCAACAAGCCACACTTCAATCTAAATTAGAGAAAAGTATTACATATATGTATGAGAAGAGAAGAATTCAAGAAGACGTACACTCATTTCATTCTTTCATGTTTTGTCTTAAAGTTAAGAATGGCTCCCTGATTTACTCTTACATTTTCAGATGTTAGCACAAATTAGCAGTTGAAACCAAGTATCTCTCAATGAGTTCCCAACTTTCCAATACGAGCACCATTTCCAGAACTTACGTGGAAGGCATTGATTGCTAACATTTTTTTAGGTCAATTATCAGTTTGAACCCAATTAAATAATGCGTTCCAGTTGTATAGAACAACAACGAAGTTTGCAGAAGTTAAATATGATTGGTTTGAATCTTAGTCCAGGAATCGCTAAGTGGCACATCATGTAATTTTCACAAGGTCCTTACCTCTTTTGATAAATTTCACAAATTGTTAATGTTCACCGAACAAACAACCCTATAAAGTCGTTCGTAATCGTGCCCTAACTTTACCCAATTTGGTACCGATTTGTAAATCACAATCTCTCCGATTTGGATCCAAAATTCTTCAGATTTATTATTTTGTTCTTCGATTCGATTTCTTTTTCGTTCGATTCGATTTAATCTCTATCGATTGACCCGGCTCTCGTTTCTTATTGTTCTGGGATTTCTATTCTAGGGTTAGGGTTTCGAAAGTCTCTTAAAACATTTGATTCGTTTCGATTTTGTTTGATCTGTGAACCTTAGGGTATCTACTAGCGTTTGATTGTCCATATTTATCTGGGTCAGCCTTCATTTCTTGGATTCTTTGAAAAGTTTGAAACTTTATCGGGGCTTTCGAAGCTTCGAATTCTCGATTTATTTATATTGTGAAAAATTGGGGAAGAATTTATTTGGAGTTTCAGTATTTTATCTTCGTATGTTTTCTATATAATCGTTCAATAACAAGGAAGCTAGATTTCTGGTTTTGTAAATTGGGGTTTTTTATATTCGGTTTATTTGAATTTTAATTCGTCCGCCGGTGTTATTTATTGAGTTCTTCAGAGGAAGATTTAGGTGAGAACTACCACCTTTAGCCCTTGTGTGATATTTTTGGAATGTTGTTTCTAATTTAATTCTTATGGGAATCTTGGAATTTATGTATGTGGATGCTTTAATATATATGTAGTTTCATAATTTATTTTCATTTATACGGTTAGGACCTTTATATTGTTATATGGATAGCATATTGTGGCTTCGTAGATGCACTGAAGAACATTTTACGGATATCGTATTGTTATTTTAAAAGTTGGAAATGAATTTTTTAATGTTATGACCTGAGTGCTTAATGGTTCTTTTCGCCATTGCATTATGCTCTGTTGCATTTGAAATAGATGTTAGTTAAAAGAGAAAAAGAGATTTGAGAACATGCTATGGCATTAGTGTGACACGAGGCTTGGCCTTGCCTACCTAGCCGTGGACTGAGATTAGAAATAGTTGTAGGATGCTTCTGTTGTTGGGAGAAAAGAGTTTTCCTGTAACTTTTGGCTCTGGTTTTCCATTTTTGACTGCCTCGTGTTTTGTAGTTGTTGCCTTGCATAATAAGGAAGACGACTCTATATGATATTAGTCCTAGTTAAAGTTAGATGCCTACGTCTTTCAAGTTCATATAGGTTTGTCTGTACCTTTCTGTCGAGTGCCCTTCTAGTTCAAATGTGAAAATCATGACCTTGACATTATACTGAACAGAGGATTAGATGTTTCAATATTCTTAACAGAAGATTTCTCCTGTTAATTGTGCTAGCTATACCCTGGTGGATAGAATTTGAGGCTCTTTGTTTTGTCTTGTCACTTCGTACGGTTTTATATCAAAAGCTTGTTCCTGCCCTATTTGGAACATATTAAATTTACATCCCTGTGATTTAGTAGTTGGCTTTTTTTTTTTTTTTTTTTCTGTTCAAGCTATTTTTAAGTCCAAATTTAGGATCCGGCTTTGAGCTTTGCTAAGGCTATATATATCTTTGGGTTTGCATTTTTAAATCTCCCAAAGACAAATTGACTTTTCAGGGAAAAATGATTCACAAAAGACGCTTTGCTGATGAGGACCTTTCGAGTTCCCTCGTAAACACCCAAAACCATGTGACTACACCAATCACCTTGCTCCTATCATGGATTTCAATCCTTGCAATGATGCTGGTCTGGAACCTCAAACTTCCGGTAAATAATTTGTAATTACATCTATGTAGAATTTTGGTTACAATTAAATTGATCTTCTTGTCTCATGCAGCGGTGGTATTATATTCTGCAATTGTTTTTTTTTTTTTTTTTAATATTATTGACTAAATTCCAATATGAAGAAGATGCAGCTAGCCACAGGTTCTGCAAATGTCCAGATCAAAAGACATGTGCATTTGACTAGATTACAGAAGTTTCAAATGGGACTGATGAGGAATTTGAAATAGGTACCTCCGGCTGCATTTCTCAATTTCTGTGGGAAAACAGCAGCATTGCTGAAGCAGATGCTAAGTTTGAGGCAGCATTTCATCTGTCATTTTTTCCAGAATATTTTGCACCTCAACACCAGCTAAGGGCTTTGCTTCAATCCGGTGAGACTTATTCATCTCTTCTTGAAGCTCCTCCTTTGATTCTAGTTTCTATTGGACCTTAGCATCAAGCTGATGTTCCTGAATGGAACCCAAGGGGTTCTAAGAGCTTTGTGGATAATCTGGATGTGTCAGGCCATCCAGTTGAACCTGCACCTTTGCCGGATTTTAGCCTTGTTGTTGATGATGGTGATGAGGAGAAGCTGAGGGGTACTTGTGTCATTTCAATGCCTGATTATGAAAGGTCCGCCAATGATTGCTCTGAAAGATGTGGAACCAGAAATGATTGTAAATTCATTGATAGGGGGTTCTGTTGATTGTGTCAGACAACATGTTATGGAAGCCAGAGAAAAACTTTGGGAAAACCCTGGGGGAAAGATATTTGAGGAGTTAGGTTTCTGTGAAATGGGAGAGAGGTCTCCAAGAGATGGGCTGAAGTGGAAGAGCAAGCTTTCCATGAAGTTGTCTTTTCTAACCCTGCATTGATGGGAAAGAATTTCTGGGATCATCTCTCATTGGTTTTCCCCTCCCGAACAAAGAGGGACCTTGTCAGCTATTATTACAATGTCTTTATACTACGGAAATGGGCCAATCAAAGCAGGTTTGACCCGCACAATGTTGACAGTGATAATGATGAGTGGCAAATAAGTGAACATGAAGCTGGCGCGGCAGAGGAAGATGAGGGAGATGGGGAGGGGGAGATGTGGATGATATATCTGTACAACATGTTAAGAACTCCTTTGGTGGCAATACCGACTTACATCTTTTGAGTAAAATTCAAAGCAGTTACAGGGAGGAGGATGATGTCCAAGATGATTCATGCACATCATATGAATTTGAGCAAATTGAAAGCTGTGACCCACTTTATACAGGGACTGATCAAAAGCAGTCTAATCAAGATTGATGCACGTGCTGTATGTATTAAATGTTGTTGGGTTAATTGAGCATGAATAGGTTATGTTTTGAATCCTTGCAATAGTGTAAAGCTTGGATACTTATACAAGAGGGAAGGAGTTGATTTTGTTAATGAGCGTTCACGTCTGATCTCCTAAATTATATATGGCCATGGTTGGCATAAAATATTGGTGCTGGAAGCCTTTGAGGGATGGTTGGGAAGGGACTCCCAGAAGGTCCATGATTCTGACAAGTAACAGGACTGCAGTTAAATTTTCTTTGATTTAATCTCGTATCATCACAAGAATAATGTATTCCAAATCCATTTTATCTTGTATTTTTGTTCGATGTTATAACTCAATAGTCAATACTCCATTTGGTTCCAAAAGCCCTTTTCAAGTAAGTTCATTATTTACCATTTGAAGTTTATGGTCTCAAAATCCCTTAAAAGGGTGCTTTGTCTTAAGAAATGTAAAGAGGTTTTCCTAAAAAAATCTCTAAAAATTCCAGAATCTCTCACCACCTCCCCTGAGATATTAGGCTGCGTTTAGTATACTTTTTTTAATAGGATTTGTAAAATCCTATTCTAAATACATTTTAGGATAAGATTTTGAGAATGTGTCTGGTATAATATCGGAAAATATTTAGATTACTTTTTAACCCTCTATATTTACTAATTTTCACTCTCTAGGTCCTTTTTAAGATATTCAATGGCTAGATCTAATCAGTCGTATATTGTTCGGACGTTAGTGGTTGGCAGTGGTAGTGTCGACTATGACAGTGACTAGCAACAATAGTGGTTGCTAGTAGGTGATAATGGCTTGGGTGGGTGAAAGTGTTTTTATTAATTTATAAATTTTTATTGTGAAATGTAATTATTAAATATTTTAAATTAAATAGAATTGAATTGAATTTTAAATTAAATAATTAATATTAAAACAAACATATTTCTCATTCAATTGGATAAAATAATAAAATAGAATAAAGTACGAAATGTGTCCCCAGGACAACCCTAGTTTCCTTGGCTACCTCCCTTCCTCACCGTTTTCTAACGAAAAAAGATGATAGAAAACGTGTAATATCCATAATGCCCCAAAGAATCGCTATCAGTCATGTCATCCTCTCTCCCTTCCCTTTTAACAACCAATTTCCACCTGGCTTTATTAGGCTTATCACTTTATACATGAAAAGTGCACCAATCTGTTATAATAACAAGGAATTAAGGATGTCACAACATTTATGATAACAAGTTTCATTAGCAGGTAGCTTTATTTTCCTAATTATACTAAATTTTATAATATTTACAAAAATTTAATATAAGATTGAGAAACCTCTGTGGTAAGTTATATAATATAAGATTTCTTTCTAATTTTGCTTTATCATAGAACAAAAAAAAGAAAATAAAAAACTGTATGAGTTTATTGGCACTTGGATTTGATTTCAGTTTCTGGTTGGATCCCTCTTGTAATTTTCTCATCTGAAAATGAGTGTACAGATTCTCAAAACATTTAAACATTCTGCAATCATAAAAGCCTTCAGTTTTCATGTCATCTTATAACATTCGAGTCCATACTCCCAAGAAGCAATGACCCATCTGAAAGAGATCCAGAGATGAAAAAGAGTGGGCTGGAGTTTGATCCATGGAAGTTTAACAACAACCGATATCATTGATATGGACCTGTCCATTTATTGGCATTTGTCAATGTACGTTGTCAATGTGCATATGGAATTAACTGTCACTTATTATTATTTGATTTTGACTAATTTTGACTCTTTTAATATGATAGGGTTAGAGCACAAAACACAAAGCTCCTTATTAAATAAGTGATTATACTCTATGCTGATTAATTAATAATATCTTTGGGGTTAGGTCAAAAGATTTGGAATGAGAATGTTGTTCCTCATATAAATGATGAAGATATACATCTACCAACACCCTCCAAGTTTGATCCCAAAATGCTTTTAGAAAATTATATATCTTTCTCCTAAATATGGCTAAGAGAATATTTCCTCCTTTTTTACCAGAAAAGTTCCTTTCAAGGTTGTCTTGGACCTCTGCCTGTGCCTGGTTAGCTTCAATTCTAATTATCTAATTTAATAAATCAAAATAAATTTCTGAGCAGAGTTTTATTTTCTCTAATTCAAGCCTGTTAATTACAGCTTACTTGCAAGAATGAATTATCTAACTTTTATAATAAGTTGATACAAGACTCCAGTGAGTTTTTCATTCAAAGTCTCAATACATCAATCATCACGAAGTAAATATATAACTTAAAACTGATTAAATATACATGAATACTGGAGATGAAATAAAGAAGAAGCCAAACTTTTGATTAAAGAAAATGGGTGATTTGCAAGTTAATTTGTGAAGTGGTAGAGCGAATAATTAAGTTAACTAGACATCTGGAAGCTTAGACCAAACACACACCGAAGAAATGAAAGGCAGGACACATAAATAGTTAGATCATCTTCATGCAATCACTAGAGTTAAAACATAACCAATATGTAAAATTCATATCTATTTCTTATTAGGGTTTAGAAATTTCAGATTCAAGTTTGGATATCATGAATATGAGATGATATACGGATTCAACATTAAGTCCTCAACAAAATCTAAAAAGCCACCAGAATCCACTTAATATACCATGCCAGTGGATTCGACTCATTTAATGACTTGATGTGATGTATGTGATGTGATGATCCACTCGTTCTCACAACAATATAAGAGAACCTTTTAATCACTTTTTCCAGTGATAGGGCCTAATCTTATGTAAAAGATTTTTCAATGGTGACAAAGGAATGGTGACAAAAAGGACGCCCCCTATCAGTCCATCAAGAGGGGCCACAAAAAGCCAATACTCTCCTATGAAGTTTCTTAGAAAGCTTTAAAGAAATCTTCTCCGCTTCAAACTTCATATATATAGATCGATATGCATACTCTCATTCTCTTACTCATTTTTCTCACACTCTCATTCAATCTCGCACTCATTTTCGGTAAGTCTTTTTTATTTTGTTTTCAAGTTAAGAATATAATGGCTCGATTGTTCTACATGAAGCAACTTACCTTTTCGGATGTCACCAACAAATTAGTCGTTGAAACCGACTATCTTGGGGAGTTCCCACCTTTACCACACGATCAATATTTTCGAAATTTACGATTTCTGGACGAGGAGTGCAACACTGAGTGGAACTTCCGTCTAGCCGTCCGGCAGACTGGCCCCCATGAAAAGCCAACCATTGGAGGTGATTGGATAAAATTCTGCAAGATGAGGGGCCTTCATAAAGGAGATGTTATTCTGTTCTTTAAGGAAAGAAATGAAGTAACTGGACAATTCCAATATAAAATTAGACTCTTTTATAATTTTCTTTAATTTGGCAGTTTTATTTGTTGAATAAATAGTTTATTAGTGTTTGGTCTTCCAATAAAATATATAATTTAGTAGTGTTGCATGTGTAGTTTCTTTTCCTATCTTCCTTCCTTTTCTTCTATATATATGATTTAAGGGCCCTATCAGCACAGCACAACACGTAAGGTGAAGTAGTGTGTGAAAACTAAAGACAAGGAGTTGGGTATATTAATTCACGATCAGATTGTAAATAAAAATTATTGATCCTTTTACTTCTTTTTCTTCTACACATTTGGCTAAAATGTTTTGTTTATTTATCTTATAATAAAAGAAACGGAAGCTTCAGGGCAATATAACCGATTTTATTTTCCTGTAATGATAGAACATACATCATACTCACGTTAAGAACAAGAATTAAGGGATCTTTGAGTATACCTAATAAGGAAATTTGATATAGCATCTCTCACATCAATTCATAGTTTGATCTACATCAAATTGTGGAGACATGCTACATCAACAGATAATTCATCGAATTTGGCCAGCTTCCTTAAATCCTATATGCTCTATAGTTATTGCTTATTTCAACGATTAAAAAAAGGATGTTGGGTTCATATTCAGCAAAAACGAGATTCTATATTCTGACTCAAAAATTTCTGGGAATGTTATTGTTGTCAACTGGTTGGGCTCGCAATATACAGATACTTTATGGGAAAATTTTCTTTAAAATTATATTTACTTTATGCATTAATATATGGTCTACTTTATGTATACTTGTTCTCCTTTTAGTCATTGTCAAGTTATGGCCGATCATTTCATACTTGTCAAAATTTATTCTATTTTTTACAATAAAATTATTATTTCTTGACCCGGTTTACTCCTGTGCTGGACGTCATGTTGGAATATGGAGCCTCTTCCAACGCAACTTTTTAATCGTCTTACCGGTGTGGTCAGCATAGTTACTTTATCTTTTAGTAATGTTAATTATGTAATTCCTTAAAAATTCCATGGCTAAATTCAATAAGATAATTTCTTCATTTTATGTATATATTGTCTTTGATTTACGTGCTTTGTCTACAAATGTTTAAACTTCTGCCTTTGTTTATGCATGGATTTATTACGTACATTTTATTCACAGCTTAATGCTGGCATGTAACTTATAAAATATTATTATTAATAATAAAAGGATTAAAATATTATGCAAATCATTCGCTAGCTATATATAAGAGCCAGACACTATGCAGAAGCTCTAAAGTTCTAAACCCAAGTGTTATATATATAAAAAAAAAAAATATATATATATATTATTTTTTGGTAATTTTATTAATAGCATTTCGACTATGCTAAAGATATATATAATACATTCTAATTTGTATATACATTATAATATCTAAGCTCATAATTAATTATGATATTTCAATCTATTTTCATATATTTAACTTTATATTTATTTTATGTTATTTCACTTAACCTAAATTGGAATAGCATTATGGAAATGTTTTTAAACATAATAATATAATAAAAGGATTGTCTGATTGCATTCTACAAATTATATGTTAAACAAGAAATTCATATTATTTGATACAAAACACCTAGATTCATAATGTATAGATATGATGATATTTTATCTTTTATAAATGCTCAATTTAAAACTATTCAAAATAGTAATTTTTTATAAACTTTTGATATATCGTTATACCAATATATTAGCATAGAATTTGTAAAATAATGTCATAAAGCGTGTAATACAGTATCGTAGCCCTAAGTCTCAAAATATAATATAGATAAAATTTCTGAATGCTCTGACATTTTAATTCACGTGGACATGCTTTACACGTGGCGTAAGAACACTGCTTACAGTACGAAATTCACCGGACATAATCATTTTCTGAGACCAGGAATCACAAAGTGACACATCACAATGTTGTCAGATATTATTACAATTGTTGATAGTGATAATGATGAGTGGCAAATAAGTGAACATGAAGCTATTAACAACT